TTAGGCAAAGCCAGGGAAGTAGCATGGTTCTTCGTAATGTGCTTTGTCAGCTAGGAAACACAAAGCTTTTTCAGACTACCATGAGGCACAAATTCTGAAAGTCTGTTTTTCTCCTAAGAGCATCAGTCAGTTTAACTCACTGACTCCAAGTCTCTAGTATCAAAGGGGACTGTAGTCATTGCTGCCTTCTTCCATTAGCACCTGATATTCAGAAGTGAGGACATGTTTGCAGATGGTTGAGTGCCTGTTTTGGCTCTTGTGATGATGACTGGGGGAAAGGAGATCTGTTCCCCTAAGGGAACAAGGGTGCAAGTCACATGGGACAGGGTAGGAGTCCTGCTGCATAGTGTGTTGTGATGTGTTGATAATCCTCCACAAGCAAGTTGAGAGGAAGTTCACTGGGAAAAGATGACCAACCAGAACAAAAACTTGGCTCAAGGCATTACAGATATATTTCAGTTATATATATCAGTGATGACTTTCATATACACAACATGCAGAAGAGCACAGGAGGCACAAAGCCTGCCTCAAGGAATTTATGATCCAGGAAGACAAGACCTAAGAAGAAGTTAAAATATATAAAGCAAAACATGACCAGAAGTTGGCATCATAAAACAGAAGTGCAGATATTCTATTGTGGTTTTAATTTGGTAAATCTAGTATTTGTGAGTGTTTGTGGCTAACCATATAACCCACAACCCCTCTATCTCCAAATGAAACTTTGGGGCAGTCAGTTTAAGGATGTGTATCACTATTAATAAAAAAAATTCAGCCCTCGATGTAAGCTGCTGCAGCACTAGTAGCCCACATGTATGGTCAGCCCAGGGAAGCTGAGCTAAAGGGTGCCATTGCAATGGCCTGGGGACTGGTACCAGGCTGTTATGTTACCAGTGGGGGACCCCAGGGCATTCGTTTTCCCTGGTGGCCTAATTCAAATGCTATCTTATATACTTACATGCACAAGGTAGAGTTTCATACTTACTCCTTTTGGAAGGTATCTTCTTCTATATTGCTGCATGCTTTGCTAAACAATGTAAGGGAACTTGAAGCTACCTTACTGGGTGCACTTTGGAAATGTAATTAAATAGTAAACTAAGAACCTGTGTATTATGCTGTGTAAATTTGCATTCGTGAAGCACAGTAGGAAAATAATGCCAGCAGCTTCCATTTGTAGACAAATGAATGTAATCTTAGTGTTTTGGGGTTACTATAACAAGCTGAAGAGAATAAGAATAAATTAAGCTGACCCACCCTGCTTATACAGAAATGATGTTTTTTTCTGCCAACATTCAATTTCCACAACTGGGACAATATAGAAAATAAAATATTGTGTAAGGAAACAAATCTGCTGCTGAATCAGAATGGGCCTTTACTGCCTGAATGACAATCAGTTGACATTCAATTATCATGTTAATTGAATTAAAGCGAGCTAGAAATGACTTAATTCCATAAGTATATGCTCCTGTCAAGTTACTTATTTAATAATTGTTGCTTGCTTGACAGAGGAGGGGAAAATGACCTTATAAGAGATTTCTGAGATGTTAAAATTAAATATTGCCACTATACACTATAGATAAGCAACAGAACAGAAGCCTGCTTCTTGTTACAGGAAAAATGTTAAATGTATTATTGGAAATGATGTTTTTCATAATTTGGCACTGTCTTAAACATAAAACCCCAAAGAGCTTCAGCCATTTTCTAGAGCACACTTGAATGATGACACCAGCCTTTTTCCTCCCCAAAAGCGCTGCAAGGATGCAACTCTGTTATACTTACTACAACACAAAACTATTTAAGCCTGAGGGCTAAAAATTCTCACAGCTGAAAAAAAAAAAGTGGTTGGGAGGGGCAGCTAACTTGCTCATACCTGTCTGAGGTGCTGCTACAAATGCTGAGGACACTCCCCACTTGCCCTGCCTTCATAAGCTCCCAGTACAAGTCCAGTCTAGCACAAAGTCAGTGAACTGGTACCCACTGCGAGGGCCACATTGATTTGCGTTCAGAGAAAAATATTGCCAGCCAGACCTTGTTGTTACTCATGAAAATTAAGAACTCCCCAGACAGGCAGAACTTACCCTAATTTTTAGTATAAGCCAGGACCAATCAGAATTTCCAAAATTAGCATGATAAGGATCATCAGCCCACTTGTATGCTGACCTAAACAGTGGGCGTCTTCAAAAGGACAACAGCATATAGACAGTGAGAGGTCAAGTTGTTGTCCTCAGAGGACATGCCAATGCCCTTACAAGGACAAAGGGGGGGTAAGCTGACCACCCGCCAGACAAGCCAGCCTGTGGGGACCATTCTGACCTGTGCAAAACATCAAAGCAGGCTGGGGTCATCAAAAACCTTTCCCCATCCATTAAGGACTTTTTTATTCTAATGACCTTCTATTACATGGTTCATGTTTATATTACCATGGAAGACATGGTGTTCATGTGACTATTATTGGCTCACCAGAAGACCCAAGAAAAGAGGGCAAGACAATGTGTACACTGAAGATGGTAGATGTATAGGTAGGAAATAATTAAATAACGGCTCTACGATGATGTTCCTATGAAGTAGTGATGTTTTAGATGGAGATTTACAGAACTGTTAGCTTCATATTATTGAGTTAACCTTGTGCAATATGACTATTTGAGGGAAAAGTCAGGTCCCAGAGGACTCTTTCAATATGCTGTGACTGTAAGAGCACAGCAGGAGTGTATATTTTTTATATTTGTGTAATGCAAAATAAAACCCAATGTGGAAGCAGTATATACATGATCTTTTGAAGATCATTATTCTGTGTAAAATTCTTTGTTCAGCTCTGGTTTTTAAACTGGCTAGCAGAATGATGCAGAGGCATTGCAATATACAAAGCGGTATAACTTAGTCTGTTCTGTAGGTCAAGCTAAATTCATTTTAGCAGCTAGGAACAGATTGTTGACTAATTTTTTATTCATTTTCAAAACAAACAGTACATTTTCCTAATAATCACAAGTGATTACAACTTAAAAAGCAAATTGCTACCATTTTTTTTTTTTTTGCAAAACAATAGGAGATCAGCCAACACTATATATTTATCTTAATCTGGAGAAATTACAAGGGTGCACACATACAGTTGCACAGCTAAAACCAATCTTTTTTCCCCTCTGTCTTTATATTTACAATTTTGGAAGCCTAAGACTTCTCTGTTTCCATTATGATCTTTTGCTTCCCTGGGAAGCAAAATCTTTAATCCTTTTAGGCAGCCTCTGAGTTTTGCCAGCCCATATCTGAGGTTTGTTCTGTCTCTGAAAGCAAAACCTCAGTGAAACAAAAAAATGTTTCATGAGCACATTCTTTATAAAAATTGTGTTGTACTGGATCCTTCCAGCCTGACACTACCACTCTCACTTTGTAGTCTGCAACTGCATTGTCCTCTGTGTGCACACTCTGTGCTGCCAAGTCCTCTCCATTACGGGACTGCTGGTTTTACTAGAGCACTGGAAGATCAAAAGAGATCACTTTAAAGTTTCATAAAGTTTATCCTTCTGTGGAGGAGATGTACGTGTGTGCTTTTCAGCTGTGGAATTCAGGAGAACACCCCAAAATTGCCATAAATAGCTTTGCCCATCTTTTAACCTTTGAATCAATAGCCCAGTTAACTAGGCAGTGTGGAGTGGGAGGGGGAAGGTGGATAGTCTTTACTCCCTTCATGGACCCTTTCCACCGGTGCCCACGTTGTGCACTTCACTGGAGAAGTGGACAGCAGAGACTCAAAGCTGCAGTTCCATTTTGTGTAATACTGTGAATCCCAAATGCCCATGAACACATGAATTAATTTCTGCCCTGGGCACGTGACTTAAAAATTGTGAAGCATAACAGCAATAATAAAAGTAAATTTACTTTCCCTTTATTTGTCTCCCTCACTTTTAAGCCTTCCATTTTTGTTTTTAAACATATGTTTTTATACTTTTTTTAAACATATATTTATGGTTTTACACATTCCGGATGTTTTTTAAGCTTTTCCCTGCAACATGGAAGGCTAGGAGTCAATCCTGCTTAGTAACATGAAGCCAAGATGCTTGCACGGCTCCTAAGTCTACCCTTTCAGGAAAAAGAAAACCCATGAAGTGGTGAGAAACTCATGATAATATCTGCAAAGAGAAATGCTGACTTGTTCCCAAATCTGTCGCTGACATGGCTAACAGCAAGTCATTAGCTAGGCTCCATGGGTCAGAAACTGGTTCTCCTCCTGAAAACTTTCAACCCTAAATATCTACGTACGCTTTTCTAACATCATGTTACTATAGTGCTATGAGGTCCTGCCTAACCCTGCAGATAATCTTTGATCTTGAAATTTGGGCAAAACTGAAGTGATTCTCCAAGCTCTATAATCCATTATGAGATTGTGCACATGCCGCATTTAAAATAATTTGGTGAGTTGAGAGAAATGTACAGAAATAGATCCATGCTCCTGAGAAGTTAATTAGACCGATACGGGATCAGGACTGGAATAATGACTAACATGATTTATTATCCTTAGCAGCTCCGTGAAGCTTCTTTGACTGTCCCCAACAGTTTATCCAGGGAAGAGAGAAAGCCTCTTGGCTGCTCTGTGTGGTGCCGTCATCTCCTCCTTCATTTAGCTCAAATGTCTTTCTACACATTCTCATCTTCCCCAGAGGGTTTTAACTCGTCTCACAAGTGGAAGCCAGTGGAGAGGCCCACGCCTGCCTTCCCCCGTCCCTAAAGGTCCCATTTGCAAGTACGCCCCGCACTTCACTTTGAACAATTAAACCTGAGATGCTATGAGGGATATTATTTTTTCAGTACTGCTGGGTAGTTAAAGGGTGTTTCACAGTTGGAACAATATTTTCTTTAAAGTATTTGATGTTTACTATTTCACTCTTTAAGCAATATGAGGAGGAAAGGCTGTTTACTTAGAAAGACTTTATGAAGATGCATGAGACACACCGGTGATATATAAAAACAAAACCAGATTAATTTACCAATGTGACACTCTTTGTTTTTAGGTATACAAAAAGAAAACTGAAGCTGCCAAGAAGGAATATCTGAAGCAGTTAGCTGCCTACAGAGCAAGCCTTGTATCCAAGGTAACACATAATGTATATACATACACACATATATATAGTGACATATTGCAAACCATTTTCAGCATTTATATGGTGCTGAGCACCATAGTATTTAGTGTAAATAGCCTTGTTTGTTACCACCTTAGGTTTAAGGTGCAAATGCTCAATAAACACAGTCATCTCTCCATGAAAGGATATCCTTTCCTTCTGGTCATAGAGACAGCACTTCTCCAGGCTGGGAGTATCATCACAGTTCAGCAGAGGAAGGAGATACCATAAAAAGACTTCAGTGTAACAAACATGCCATGCCAGGCAGTCACCGTTCTACCTGTAAGGGAAAAAAACTTCTCATCAAAACTTTCTCAAAACCAAAATGCCTGGTTTTGGTTTGGGTTTTTTTAAGTACTGCTTTTGACTTTGCAATGACAGTACAGAAAAAGTCAAGCTTAGCTCACGTAGCAAATTTTCATAAGAAAATGTAAATTTCCACTTTACATCCAGCAAGCAATTTGTGTGAGCACAGCGTAGGTCACCCTAAGGCTCTTATACTGGAACACACCAGTGTATCCCCAGTACACAGCTAGTAACAATTTTCTAAACTGATTTATACAAACATTCTAGTGCCCATAATTTTGCAATAGACACTTTAAAATTTGTAATAGACTTCAAAATATGCAGAAGAATGTGAAATTACTGCACTGTGTCAAGGTGAAAACCAGTTGAGCAACTTCAGAATCATACCAGTTAGAATCACGTGTTTTGGGTCCGTCAAAACAAATTTAGATATATTTTGTTCTAACATAGATAAAATTAATTTTAGAGGTAAAGATGGCAATATGAAGGACCGGCATATATGACATGAGTAGAGCTTTTTGTTAGTTTTAAATGTTTTTGGGGTCCTGCACTGTACTTCTCTGTATATTATATTAATTTGTACAAATTTTCAGGGGAAGACTATATGATTAGCCATACGAGGACCTTTCATGCATCTTTCTATATTATCTTAGTATTTGGTCAGTGTTTGTTCTGAATTTAAAAGTCTGAAATATGGGTGTTACTTCATTCATTTTTGGGGGTTGTGTCTTATGCATTTTAATTTTATAGCTACCATCATAAATACTAATGCATTTAGTTAAAGTGATTTACAGGGTACCTTTAATTTCTGCCTTAGGGCTATTTGGTTCTAGAAATACTCATTGCCTTCAGAAAGGATACCACGTGCACACAAACAACTTTTTTTAAAATAGCCTGTTTATTGGCAAAAGATAGGTCTAAAAAGCTCAAAATATTCCAATAGGTTTTGAAGAAATGCATGAAGCCAACTTTTCACTTGTGAAAATAACTTGGATGTCATTATTCAGCACATCATGGACTGTTTACATAACACTCTACATAGCTTAATTTTGAAAAGGCACATATAAAAACCTGAGATTTTTATTTTGTTTTGGGGGTTTTTTTAAGAGAAAAAAAGTATATTATGGCATTTTCTGAGGTTTGCTTTTAGAAAAAGAATTTAAAAGACTGCTGATCAGTTCAGTGCATGAAGCCACTTGTGCGTATATTTAAATTTGTTGTTAGTCAGAAAAGCACTGAAGCATTTTCTTAACTCTTTAGCAATTATTTAAATTCTGCCCATAATGTAATGTTTTCCTCTAATGTGGAAAGTATAAAAATATAAACTCAATGAAGCTGAGTACTAATTGCTTAGTCTCATGAACACGCTCAATGAATCCAACAGAGCTGGCATGTAACTAAAGCAACTCCATTTTGGAATAAGGATGTAAAATACCCAGATGTAATATTATATCAGTATATTCTAAATTATCATTATTAAATATTTATATGGCACCAGAAGAGTTGTAGTTCTTTAGACAAACATGCAAGTATGAAGAAATACATATAATACGTTATTAAGATTGTTTGGAGTCCATCTGGTCTTTTATGTCCATGTGTTATATTATCATCCATAAAAGCTACTTTTAGAGAATATTGTTAAGAATCCAAGACCTCATTCTCAAAAGTTGACATGCCAAAAATATCGTACCTTTTCCAAAAATGCTTTAATAAAATATTAATGATTCGCTCACATGGTATGTTTTACACTTTAAACCACATACTCTGTGTGAGTCTCATTTCATATGCTTATAATCAGGTGTTCACCCTGGGAGCTCCTGTGTTGTATTTACTGCATGTTGTTTAACCTTGCTTCTTTATAGGACTTTCTGCGCTGCTCATCCCAGCAGTGTTTTAGTGTAAAGAAATTCTCAGTAGTACTCTGGAGCAGGAAGTTTGTATTGTCCATATTTTCAAACACAACTAAATCATTGTGAAATCAGGTTTTCAGTAATTTTGGGTGTCCTGTTTGGGACACCGAGAACTTCATTTTTCAGAGTATTTGACCAATATTATACCCTTCATGTTCATAGCAGAGCTCCAATGACTTCAGGGTCAGCTGGCTGGCAGCTATGAGATGTTCAGTTGTGCTTCACATCACATCGGGACATCCTCTTGCTATCCAAATGATCGGAGTTACCCAATTATCAAACTTTCTTCCTTCTCCCCTCCCAGAGGAATCTGCCTGTGGGAAGAGGCAGGCACAAGCAGGCAAGGGTGCTGCTCAGGTCCCCTGTCTCCAGCTCAGCAAGTGCCTCACACCTCCCAAAGCAGCTGCTCTACCGGTTTCCTAACTTTTGAACACTGATTCTGCCACTTTTTTCATTAAGTACTGCCAGTTTTTAAACAACTAGTGAGTGTAGGGCTTGTATGTCAGTGTTTGTGTATGTTTTTCTGCATTTATTTGCAAGTCTCTATTTTTCTGAAAAGCAAAGTAATGGACATATGCCACGTTATACCTGAGTGGACCAGGCTTGGAGTTGAATTCGCTGCATCCATCTTGCCCATTTGAGATGCTGGAATAGTCAGAATAGAAGATTGCAGAGAAATGGAGTAAATCTCCTTTTGCTAGGAGATTTCTTAACCTCTGCCTGACAGCAGAATAATGAAATTCAGGAACGTTGGTTTCCATCCCAAGCTCTGGGGTGGGAATGGAGTATCAGGTGGGGATGGTGGGCTTCTCCATGATACTCAGCCCTTTGCCCCCTCTCCTCTCCTCTCCTCTCCACTCCTCTCCTCTCCTCTCCACTCCTCTCCTCTCCTCTCCACTCCTCTCCTCTCCTCTCCACTCCTCTCCTCTCCTCTCCACTCCTCTCCTCTCCTCTCCACTCCTCTCCTCTCCTCTCCACTCCTCTCCTCTCCTCTCCACTCCTCTCCTCTCCTCTCCACTCCTCTCCTCTCCTCTCCACTCCTCTCCTCTCCTCTCCACTCCTCTCCTCTCCTCTCCACTCCTCTCCTCTCCTCTCCACTCCTCTCCTCTCCTCTCCACTCCTCTCCTCTCCTCTCCCTCTTCTCCCCAACAGCAAACCTTTACTTCAGCCAGTCTTTTTTCCTAGTCTTTCTCTTGTCCTCTGCATCCTCACTTCTCCTTCATATACTCATAGCCATGGGTGCATAGTGAAGGAAACTGGAGATGAACACGAGGGACAGACTGCCTGCTCTTCATCATAGAGAGCAACCAGTACTGGCAAAGCTCATGTGGAGGAATAGTCTCAGCTGCTTTCTCATATGATACATGTTTATAAATTTGAGTGTCATTCCATGGGAAGATAAGATATTAATCTTTGACACAATCTGTCATTGTCCCTTCCAGAGATCAAGTCCCTCTTCCATTGCATCTTAAGGAAGGGCACCCAATTTTTCTGGGAAGCATACAGTGCTTTCCGCTGGGTGCATTCTTGACAAAGCTGAGCAGTTCTGGTTGTAGTTTCTCTCTCTCTCTCTCTCTCTCTCTCTCTCTCACACACACAAACACACAGAGAAGTCACTCACACACCTAGTATGTATAATTTTAGACCGTGTTATTTGACAAAATCATAACGGAAAAGAGTGGAAGTGTCACCAGCAACTTTGGTAATAGGATTGCCAGCCCACCTCTAATTCACTTTTAAATGCTTTAGTGATGTCTTTATAAAATAGGGCTACCACCCAGTAAATAGGGTAAACATACCATTGTGTAAATATATCAGTTATGCGTTAATCCCCATTTAATTTATCAGTTTATTTCCTGTATTTTCTGCTTTTTTGTAATGATTGAAATTAATGGTGCTGTTGTTGAGTTTGTTCATGTGTGTAGGAATTGATACGTAAAGTAAAAATCACATTACAAAGCATTATATCTTCTGCTATGCAGATTGCCATATTGCTTATAGTACTGACTAAGCCTCTGCATTGTAAACAAGTGTCTTTATATTTGTCCTTAGTTGCAACTTTTAGTACTGTTCAGATCCAGAAATGCAGTCTCTGGTATCTGGTAATTTGTACAGCATTACATAAAATGCTGTGAATTGCAATTTTACTTTTTCATAAAACAAGCACTTTTTCTAGCTTAACCAGCCTTTTTTCTGGCTGACATTAGAGGTTTTGCTGCATCTTTCAAATATATATATTTAATACAGATATATATGGGAAGTGTTAAATATTTTCATATATTATATATGTGCATCTATGTGTATTTATATAATAATATATGCATATTATGTATTTAACATGCATAATATATATGTGCATATAAGTGGTACACATATGTATGTTAACTATGGCAGTACAAGTTTAACTGTTTGAATAGGACGAGGAAGATTTCTCTTCCCTGTTTTTTTTCTCTCTGGCTAAATTATCTTTAATTCTTTCTGTGTAGTGACACAATTTCAAGTTTCATGCAGACATATTTTAGCAGCTATGGCTGAAGCTAAAACCTCTCAGCAAGGAGAAAATTATTCAAATTCAAAATACTCAAGCATATTTCAAAACTCTGACGTTGTATCTAAGTCAAAGTGGTGTCCTCACTTGACAGTGCAACAAAAGCATTGGACATTTTTCAGTTTTGTGGACAGTGCAAATCCTTTAGACATGTAAAATTGCTTCCTGAAGTATACGGCAGACCTAGCTTTCCTAGCCCACCACCTTGC